CAACTGCTCCAGCATGGAATGCATGCCCATTCTTGCCCCTACCTTCACCCAGAAGGGCAGATTGGTATGAATCCGTGTTTATATAGTCTTTTTTACTGGTGTATCACACAGACCTGTATCATGGTGAACATTTGCCCACCATGGTCTTTTGTCACCTCTGTTGAACAAGGAGGGGACCTGAGGCAAACAGAGGGGAAATGACCTGTCCACAGGGACAGAACCTGGAATGTGAATCTCTTGACTTCCAGGCCTGGACCTTGTTCTCTGGACCATGCAGGAGTGGATTTAAAAAAACCCAACAGGATGGAGGAACTTGCAGAGAGCTTTAAAAGTTGCCAGGGAGGAACTCAGGAAGAAATCCTACAGATTAGGAGAAAACCCTGCCCAGATTAATGCTCGGGAGAAATGCCATGTCAGCTGGCATAGCTCTCAAGAGCCTTGTGGGACTTGGATGAAGATGATTTAGTAGGCGCCTCTTGTATAGTCTGCATTATGCACAAGAAGGGGACCAAATTACTCTCTGTGAGGCTCTTCTCCTTTGCCTTGGCCAAGCAGGGGAAAGCTATGCTAATCAGCCAGTCCATGTAGACCAATACTGCTCAACCTTTTTGCCCCATGAACAGAGACCAGGCTCTGCCCATCATCTGTGGGCTGGATTCAGCAGTGCAGCATGGCCCAATTCAGCTGCGTGGAGGGGAAAGGAGTGTGGTTTCGCCCCAATCTGGACACGTGAGGGAGGAGGCATGGCCTGGCCCTGCCTTATCTGGCTGTGCGAGGGTTGGGAATTTGGCAGAGGAGCAGGGGTGGCAGGCCAAATTCCCTGACCTGTGGGAGCCCTGTGGGCCAAATGCTATGGCTCTGCAGGCTGGAATTGGCCCATGAGCTGGGGATGAGCATCTCTGATGGAAACCACTCTCTACTCACTCCTACAGAGCAGTTGGTCATGAGGTGAAGTACTTGAATCATCTGCAGGGGGCTGGAGAGGAAACCTTATTACCCAGTTCTGCCAGTGAGTTCCACTGACCCCACTGGAGGAGGACTCTGGGTAGGTCTCCAGGCACACACTTGTATAGCCTGCCTCTCTACAGGCACCAGCATTACAAGTGGAACATGGCTGTTATAAAAGGTGCTTGTGCCAGGGAGTCTTGTGCTAACTTATCAACAACTGAGGTTATTTTAATGGGCATTACTGTACTTCAAACTA